AAAAAAACATATATATATATATATATAGTGGCTCAGCCACACAGTGTACTGTGAATCACATCTACACGCAACCTAGATGGATCTCACAAATACAATATTGGGCAAAAGAAGCCTGGTACAAAAGATTACATATCGATTCATCTATTTATTTATTTTAGTTTGTTATTTTAGTTTGCACATGTACTCACAGGAGGCAGAGAGTGAGAGAGAGACAGAGACAGAGAGAGAGAGAAAGTGAGCAATCACCCCCACGGGGGATGGCAACATCATATCCCTTTTCCTCCAGTCTCCTCTGGGGATTCTGGGCACATACGCACATTCACCCAGCATGATTTTCAAGCTGCCGGGTCCTGGACTCAAACCACACAGTTGGCCATGTAAGATCTTTGCCACTTGCTGGCTTGATTTATTCATTATATAAAATATAAAAATAAGCAATATATATATATATATATATATATATATATTGCTTATTTTTATATTTTATATAATGAATAAATCAAGCCAGCAAGTGGCAAAGATCTTACATGGCCAACTGTGTGGTTTGAGTCCAGGACCCGGCAGCTTGAAAATCATGCTGGGTGAATGTGCGTATGTGCCCAGAATCCCCAGAGGAGACTGGAGGAAAAGGCTGTCTCTCTCTCTGGTGAGCGCATGTGCCCTATAGCAAAAATCTCTCTAAAAGCAAAAAGAAAATTCACTAAGTTATCGCTTAATATATGTGTACTTTTCTGTATGTATGTTGTACTTCAATGGGAAAGCTTACAAACATTACAAAAGGAGAGGGATTCAGAAGTCACACATCACGTTTTGGATGTCTTTGGTGAAAACTTTAGTCAAAGGACCACTTAATACTGAAAGGGATCTGGAAAATGCAGGGTCTTACTGGGTGGTCATGCCTCTAAACTTTTTTTCCTTTTTGCCAGAGGGCACATACACTCACCAAAGATAGATGAAGCAGGAGAGGGTGAAGGTGAGGGTGAGGGTGAGGATGAGGGAGAGGGAGAAGGAGATGGAGAGAGCACCCCCAATGGGGCATGGTCATGCCACAATCCCCTCTCCATTTCTCCATCCGGTTGGGATTTGGGCTATGTACAATCCCAGAGGGGCCAGGATTTGAACACTTGGTCATGTAGGATCTAGCTGCCTTCCCCACCAGGCCACACAGCCAGCTCGAATGAATGCATTTCACCATGATGAGGAGCTGGAGTCTCACCAGCCCCCAGGAGCCCTGCGGTCTCCTTTCCTCGTCACCATGCTGTCACCCACACTCTGGACTATTGCTTAACTCAGAGTAAGTTGGACCTGACCCGGCCTTGCTCCACCCGTTTCCGTATTTGTGAACAGGGTACCAGCTCCCCGCTGAGACAGCAACAGCTGCTGCAGATGCAAGGAGTCTGGGTTGGGGGCAAAGCCCACAGACTATTAGACTCGGAAGGGGCGGGCCTAGTGGGGGAGTACCTCATACCTGCTTCCCCTACCTTTGGCCTGCGCTGCCTCCTGCTCTCTAGGCCCTACCTTCGGGCTGCCCTGCCTCCTGCTCTCTAGGTCACGGTGCCCACACAGCCACACCCAATCCTACCCTCCAAAGGTCCCGTTTTATAGCTCCTTGGGAGGAATCCACGTAATGCCATGACCTCGAGGAACTACGGCTACAAGAGGGCTGGCCTTGGTTCCCTGCTCTGTGGTTAAATATTGAAAACTGAAGGCCGGAGGGAGGCATTCCACACATCCCCCCACAGTGAGGGAACCCACAGACAGACGGCAGCTTCTCTGCAGTTCGTTCCCTGGGGCTGACAAGGAAATCTGGACATTTTCTCTTTTCCCGAGGTGAACACCTAAGAAGGAAACACTGAGCTCCTGGTTCTTTTGGATTGTGAAAGTCGGGTGGAATTCACTTGCCCTCTGAGGCCACTCGTTCGAGAGGTCAGTCACCCTGGAGTGGCTGAGAAGGCTCCAACTAGGGTGGTGCTAAGGGCAGAGCTCCCAGCTCTGACGGTCCCTGCAGGCAATGTCCCTGGGGTGACAGCTGTGCTGCCTGGGGGAGCTCAGGCCAAAGACCATCCTGTGCTCCCAGGAAGAGAAGAAAGAGGAAGACGTGAACCAGTGCTGCTCCCATCGCAGATCAGGGCAGGCCGCAGGGACCCAGCATCCGGGTGAGTGTCCTAGACCTGCCGTCGGATGGGTGGCCCGGGATTTTTGGAGGAATCACAGCCTAACAGCAGTTGGTAAAGCCCGGTTTAAAATGCAGGGATCTCCCAGAGAGGCCTATGGGAACGTGACTAAATACAACAGGATGTCCGGGATGGAATTCTGGAACAGGAAAAAGGGCAATGGGAAAACGAGTGAAATCCAAGTAAAGCGTGACATTTAATCATTTTTAAAAATGGGACCAGCAGTTAGCGTAATGGCTATGTCGCTGGGCTCCCACATAGTTGACCGCGGTTCAAGTCCCAGATCCAGTGGCTTAAAATTCATGCCGGGTGCATGTGCATGCATGCCCAGGATCCTGAGAGGAGAATGGAGAAGCGATTTCGGTGTGGCCACCTCCCTAGTGGGTGATTTCTCACTTTCTGTCTCTATGTCTCTCTGTCTGTCTGGCGAGCGCACGTGCCCTATAGCGAAAACCTCTCCAAAATAAAAGAAGAAACAATGGGACCAGCAGTTAGCATAATGGCTATGTTGCTGGACTCCCATGTAGTTGACCATGGTTCGAGTCGTGGACCCGGTTGCTTAATCTCACACTGGGTGTGTGTGCGTGCGTGCCCAAGATCCCAAGAGGAGAAAGGAGGAGAAGGGATTGTAGCGTGGTCATCCCCCCTGGGGGTTTTCTCGCTTTCTGTCTCTCTGTCTCTCTCTGTCTCTCTGGTGAGCACATGCGCCCTATAGCAAAAACCTCTCCCCCCCCCCAATTTTTTTTTTAATGACAATGTGATGCTCACTCTAAAAGCAAACGGGATAGGATTGGCAGGTGGTGTGGTGGTTGGGGCACTGGACTCCCATGTGGTCGATCGTGGTTTGAGTCCTGGACCCAGAGGCTTAAAATTCATTCTGGCACATATGCATGCATGCCCAAAAATCCCAAGAGGAGAATGGAGGAGAAGGGCTTGCCATATGGCCATTCCCCCTGGGGGGTGATTTCTCATTTCTGTCTCTCTGTCTCTCCCTTTCTCTCTGGTGAGTGCACATGCACTATAGTAAAAAATCTCTCTCTAAAAAAGAGAAAAGAATAATATTTAATAAAATACTTTTAAAAAAGCAAAGTGGATAAGCTTGCTGATAGAAATAGGTCCTTTGTGTCTGTCATCTTACATGGTTGGGCAAGGCTCACTCTGGGTTCTTGTCTTCATCTTGCCATTTTGCTTTTTTTGTTGATTGGTCTTTTTTTAAAAAAAAAAAACTGTTTATTTCATTTTATTTATTTATTTTTTAAAAATTTAAGAAATATTTAACTTTATTTATTTATTTTAATTTGACCAGAAAGGGACAGAGCAAGAGAGAGAAAGAGAGAGAGAGAGAGAGAGAGATTGAGAAAGCAAGCTGCCAAGTCTGGGACATGAATCACAGTCAGCCACGTGGGATTTCAGTGCCATTAATCATCATGCCACCTGCCAGCCCCCCTCATTATATTTATTATCTTTTTTTCTTTCTTTCTTTCTTTTTGTTTAATTTGACCAGAGTGAGACAGAGAGAGAGAAAACAGGAAAGTGAGAAAGCAAGCTGCCAGGTCCAAGACTCGAACTGTGGTTGGCCATGTGGGAGCCGGGCGCCTTAACCACCACACCACCTGCTGGCCCAATTGGTCTGTTTATTATAAAAATAATATACATATTTGAGAACACCCACTCCACTGTGGACATTGGCCTAAATGCATCTTGTACACTTACTAGTTCCATTAATTAAATATTCAAAGTTGGTATTATTGCCTCAAAAGATATAAATACAATATATACATACATTTTTAAATACATGCAAATAGGGCTGGCAGGTGGCGTGGTGGTTAGGGACGTTAGACTCCCACGTGGCCCACCATAGTTCGAGTCCCACACCTGGCAGCTTCCTTTCTGACTTTGTCTCTCTCTTGCTCACTCTCTCTCCCTCACTCTTTTCCTCTCTGGTCAAATCAAAATAAATAAATAAAATTAAATTTAAAAAATTTAAATAAATAAATACATGCTGGGACCAGCAGTTAGCGTAATGGCTATGTCACTGGACTCCCATGTAGTCGACCATGGTACGAGTCCTGGACCCAGTGACTTACACTCAACACCGGGCGCGTGTACGTGCGTGCCCAAGATCCCGAGAGGAGAATGGAGGAGAAGGGATTGTGGCATGGCCATCCCCCCTGGGGGGTGATTTCTCGCTTTCTGTCTCTGTCTCTCTCTGTCTTTCTGGTGAGCACATGTGCCCTATAGCAAAAACCTCTCCAAATAAATAAATAAATATATGCAAATATACGAAATACACATGTTAAAAATGTAATTATGTGTATTGTTTTCATGAAGATAATGTGTATTCATAAGAAATCTATATAATACAAAAGGGTTCAAAGGCCTATCCATTCCCTAAGGGAGAAAGGGTTTGGGATCTCGATCTCCACGCTCTTTTCTCTGTGGTGGTGTCTGCATATGGCCGACATTGCTAGTTAATTCAGGCACACCTACATCTGAGAGCGGGCAGAATGTCGCAACCCCTGGGCAGTGTTTTGGGCAGTTAGTTGGAGCTGGACACGGGATCACACCTGTCGACCACCCCTGGAACTGTGTCTTTCCATTACTCGATACATACACAGTCATGAGCCGCATCTGGTGGGTAATGGGATGTGTGCTCACACTGACTGGGCCAGGGACTCCAACTCCTGTCACTGGGTGGGATCTGGTTTCTCTCTCTTTCTCTTTTTTCTTTTAAAATGTTTATTTATGGTAAGAGTAGATGCGCATACAGGTAAGAGTGCAAGGAAGACCAGTACTCTTCACGGGATCTGGTCGTGTTGTGATCCTTCCTACCAGTCCTTCAGCCCTTAGGATTCTGGGCACTTGCATATGTATCTGGTGTGTTTCAGCCCAACCAGGCCAGGGATTCACACCTTGGTGGCCATGTGGGATCCAGCTTTCTTGAGCAGTGCATTAACTACCACAGAGCCAGCCACTGTGTGCCCTTTCAAAAAATATTATTGCTCTTTTGGGGAACCAGCAGTTAGCGTAATGGCTATGTTGCTGGACTCGCACGTAGTCGACCGCGGTTCTCGTCCTGGACCCAGTGGCTTAAAACTCATGCCGGGCGTGTGTCTGTGCATGCCCAAGATCCTGAGAGGAGAATGGAGGAGAAGGGATTGCGGCGTGACCATCCCCCCTGGGGGGTGATTTCTCGCTTTCTGTCTCTCTCTGTCTGTCTGGCGAGTGCATGCGCCCTATAGCAAAAACCTCTCCAAAAAAAAAAAAAAATTATTGCTCTTTTTAAAAAAAAAATCTGCCACACGGCATGTGTGCTGGAGAGAGAGAGAGGAAAGATGGAAAGTAAGAAATCACCCCTCATCAGGATGGCCGCTGCAATCCTGTCTCCTCCATTTCTCCCTCCTTTCAGAATTTTGGGCACACACACATATGTGCCCCATATGTTTTTCAAGCCACCGGCTCTGGGAATGCATGGTCGGCCATGTGGAAGCCAGCTGCCTTAACCACCAAGCCACTGATTGGTCCAATTACTGATCTTATACCTGGCAACCTTGATGTTGGTTTTATTAGTCCTAATGGTTTGTTTTTCTTAGAAAATGTTCTTGTAATCTGCAAATGACTAATTTTATTATCTCCTTCTTATCAATTCTTTTTAAAAAATTTTTTTGTCTTAGAGTGGAGACAGACACACTGAGAGGGAAAGTGAGAAATCACCCACAGGGAGGTGGCCACGCTGCAATCCCTTCTTCTCCTGGGATCATGGGCACACACGCGCACACACACCCAGCATGATTTTCAAGCCACCGGGTCTGGGACTCCAACCGCGGTCTACCATGTGGGAGCCCAGTGACATAACCACTACACCATATGCTGGTCACTTTCCTATCAATTCTTTTTTTAAAAAATTATTTGTTTAATTTTATTTATTCATTTACTTATTTTAATTTGACCAGAGAGAGACACACAGAAAGTGGGAAAGCAAGCCTCCCGGTCCAGGACTCAAACCATGGTCAGCCATGTGGGAGTGTCCAGTGCCTTAACGACCATGACACCTGCTGGTCCCTCAATTCTTACACTTCATTTTCTCTTCTCACAGCACTTACCAAGACCTCTAGGACTGGATTAAATCATAACAATCAAATGTAGTCAGCAAATTGTTTCATCACTTATCTTAAGGGGAATATAATATCTAAGGTTACTCCATTTAACATAATGTTTGCTGTGCGTGTTTTTTTCTAAGTAACTATTTATTATTTATTTATTCATTCATTGATTTTTAATTTGACCAGAGAGAGACAGAGGGTGAGAGTGAGAGAGAGAGGAAGTGAGAAAGCAAGCCACCAGGTCCAGGACTCGAACCCCAGTTGGCCATGTGAGAGTGTCCAGTGCCTTAACCACCACGCCACCTGCTGGTCCCAGCTGTGAGATTTTTAAAAATTATTATTTTTTTTTAGTTTTATTTATTTATTCATTTATTTTAATTTGATGAGAGAGAGAGGCATGAGAAAGCAAGCCACCAGGTCCAGGACTAGAACCATGGTCTGCCATGTGGGAGTGTCTAAGTGCCTTAACCTCCATGCCATCTGCTGGTCCCAAGATTTTTTAAATTATTATTGTGGTAAAATTCACATAACAAAATTTACCATCTAGCCATTTTTTAAAGGTTTTTAAAATTCTTTTTATTTGTTATTTTTATTTTTAAATTGGCTATAGCGCATGTGTGCTCACCAGAGACAGACCGAGAGAGAGGGAGAAGGAAAGTGAGAAAGCAAGGTGTCAGATCCAGGACTCCAACCACAGCAGGCCAGGTGGGAGTCTAGCACCTTCACCAAGAGTATGCCCAGCATGCCCCTTCTTGCTCATGGTCTGGGGTGGCTGAGGGTGGGCATGGTTCATGTCATGGGACTCTGCTGGGGGTGCTGTCTATCTTTCTCTTGCTCATGGCAGAAGTGAATGGAGTTTTTTTTTTTTTTTTTTTTTTTTTTTTTTTTTTTTTAATAAGAGGGGGCAGGAGATGTGTAGTCTACCGCGGTTCGCATCCCGGACCTGGTGGCTTAAAATTCATGCCAGGCACGCACTCATGCATGCCTAAGATCCCAGGAGGAGAAAGGATTGTGGCATGGCCATCCCCCCTGGGGGGTGATTTCTCGCTTTCTGTCTCTCTGGTGAGCACGCAAGCCCCATAGCAAAAATCTCTCCAAAACAAAACAAAAAAAGAAAATCACCCTGGATGCCCTGCACATGCGTGCCCAAGATCCCAGGAGGAGAAAGGATTGTGGCATGGCCATCCCCACTGGGGGCTGATTTTTCTTTCTCCCTCTCACCATCTCTGCCTCTCTCCAGTGAGTGCACATGCCCTAAGGCAGAAACCTCTAAAAAAAGGTAATAATACAGTTAAAGTCACCTAAATCTGGGCTTCAGTTTTGGAGAGAGGTCTTACACCATCATTTCTCACCCCCCACCCCGCCCCCAGAGAGATTTTTGCTTTAGGGCATGTGCACTCACCAGAGACAGAGAGAGAGACAGAAAGCGAAAAACCACCCCCCAGGGGGGATGGCCACACTCTAATCCGTTCTCCTCCACTGGGATTTCAGGCATGCACACACACGTGCCAGGCATGAGTTTTAAGCCGTCAGGTCCCGAACTTGAACCACGGTCAACAACATGGGAGTCCAGCAACGTAACCATTATGCCATCTGCTGGTCTCTTGGACTATCATTTCAACTTCTTCATTATTTATTAGGCTCCAAGTTTCTTCCTTACAGAATTTTGGTATTTTATATATATATATTTTTAGAAATCTACCCATTTCATCTAGGTTGCCAAGTTTATAAGTATATATTCAAGACACAATCCTTTTTGTTTTTAAATCTCTGGTGTCACTTTATTTACTTGCATCTTCTTTCTTTGTCTTGATCCATCTTATCTGGATCGATCTTATTGTTCAGAGATTCATCTTACTAATTTTTTTCTTTCTTTCTAAAAAATTATTTAACTTTATTTATTCATTCATTTATTTTTAATTTGACCAGAGAAAGAAAGAGCAAGAAGGTGAGAAAGCAAGCTACCAGGTATGGGACTTGAACTGTGGTCAGCCATGTGGGAGTGTCCAGCACCTTAACCACCACGTCACCTGCTGGTCCCCTTATTAATATTTTTTAAAACTGGCTTTTGGTTCTGTTCATCTTCTCCATTTCCCCCTCTGCTTCATTGATTCCTGCCTCCATCTGTGTTACTCTCTCTCTTGCTCAGAGGACCCAGTGATCCAGATGGGAGAAATCTGCCCAGCTAACAGGAGGCAGAGTCAGGTGGGAGCCAGCTCCCTGGCTTTCAGACCAAGGTTCCGTGTCCTACAGCCCTCACACCAGGAGCCCCAACCAGGCAGCAGGGCGAAACCTTGGCCCTGGCAAGTCTGGCTTTGATAGCCACAAGCTGAGGCCAGCAGATGGTGTAGTGGTTACATTGGAGGACTCCCACTTGGCCAATTGCAGTTCAAGTCCCGGACCTGGTGGCTTGAAAATCACTCAGGGAACATGTGCGTTTGTGCCCACGATCCTGGGAGGAAAATGGGGGAGGGGGAATTGCAGTGTGGCAGTCCCCCCTTGGGAGGAGTGATTTCTCACTTTCCCTCTGTCTGTCTGTCTCCCTGATGAGCACATGTGTCCTATGGAAAAAAAAAAAAAAGACAATAGCCACAAGCCTCTGTGAAATGCAGCTAGTAGGAAATGAGATATGGAAAAAGTATAACATTTACACCTAATGTTTAAGACTTGTACCAAAAAATGTAAAATATCTCAATGATTTTCATATTAATTACATGCTGAGGTCTCTTGGCTACACAGGTTTACATAAAATAGATCAAAATGAATTTCACTTTTTTTCTTTTTTTAATATAGACACTAGAAGGCCAGTCTGGTGGCCTGGTGGTTAAGGGAACTGGATCCCACATAGCTGGCCCACATGGGTGACTGCAGTTCAAACTCTGGGCAGTTCAAATACATAGGCCTTGTGTGCCCTGAATCCCCAGGTGGAGAGATGGAGGCGAAGGGACTGTGGTGCCGCCACGGCCCATGGGGGTGCTTTCTCCCTCCTTTTCACTCTCTCCCTGGTGGGCACACCTGCTCTCTAGCAATTAAAAATATATACCAGAGGGAACCAGCAGTTAGCGTAATGACCATGTCACTGGACTCCCACGTAGTCGACCGCGGTTTGGGTCCTGAACCTGGTGGCTTAAACTCACGCTGGGCGCGTGTGCGTGCGTGCCCAAGATCCCGAGAGGAGAATGGAGGAGAAGGGATTGTGGTGTGGCCATCCCCCCTGGGGGGTGATTTCTCGCTTTCTGTCTCTCTGTCTCTCTCTGTCTATCTGGCAAGTGCACGCGCCCTATAGTGAAAAATCTCTCAAAAAAAAAAAAAAAACCCAGAAAATGTTATATGAAGTAGTATTGTAGTAGTACATGAATACATCAAAATTTGTGACCGTTTTGAGATAGACTGGTATTTGGTAAACACAGCTTAACTTGCTTTGTTTTGTAGGCATAGAAACAGAGTCAAATTAAGGGAGCAATTTACCTGGTGAGTGTGGGCTCAGGTTCTGGCCCTTCAAAATGATCATAAACCGACACTTACAACTTGCCCACAAGAAGTTCTCCAGGATGCCCAGCTGGGGTGACTCCTACATTGTGGCTGGCAGTTCAAGTCCCAGACCTAGCAACTTATTTTCCTCACTTTCTCTTTCTAGAATTAAAAATAATAATAAGTAAAAATTAAGTTTGTAATCCCCCCCTTTTTTTTTGGAGAGGTTTTTGCTATAGGGCACATGTGCTCACCAGAAAGACAGAGAGAGACAGAAAGCAAGAAACCCCCTCCCCGGGGGGGGGGGTGGCCACGCCACAATCCCTTCTCCATTCTCCTCTCGGGATCTTGGGCACGCACACACATGTGCCTGGTGAGAGTTTAAGTCACCGGACCTGGGACTCAAAACACGGTTGAATACATGTGAGTCCAGCAACGTAGCCATTATACCATCTACTGGTCCCAGTTTGTAATTCTTTAAAAGATAAATAACAACAAATAAAATTAAAAATAAATAGGGGCTGGCAGGTGGCATGGTGGTTAAGGGCACTGGACTCCCACATGGCCAAGTGTTGTTCAAGTCCGGGACCTGGCATCTTGCTTTCTCACTCTCCCTTTTTCTCTCTTTGTCTCTCTCTGGTCAAAATAAAATAAAGTAAATAAATAAATAAAGTTAAATAAAAAATTATTTTAAAAAATTAAAAGTAAATAATTCTTTTTTTTTTTTTTTTTGAGAGATTTTCGCTATAGACTACGTGGGAGTCCAGTGACATAGCCATTACGCTAACTGCTGGTTCCCAATAATTCTTTTTTTTAAAGAGGTTTTTACCTTAGGGCATGCGTGCTTGCCAGAGAGACAGAGACAGTGAGCAGGAAAGTGAGAAATTACTTCCCAGTGGGAATAGCCATGCCACAATCCCTTCTCCTCTGTTCTCCTCCTGGGATCTTGGGCACACACGCACATGCACCCAGTGTGTTTCAAGCCACTGGGTCTGGGACTCAAACCATAGTCAGCCATACGGAAGTTCAGCAACATAACCACTATGCTGTCTGCTGGCTCCCCAAATAAATAATTCTTAAAAGAAAACAAACAAAAAAAAGAAGTGGGGTGTAAGTGGTTGGCTGGCTGGAAGCCCGCAAGTTCTCTGCAGGGGTCCTGCTGCCCTCAGTGGCTCCGTCCTTCTCACTCTGAGACCCATGCTCCTCACCCATGTGTGATGAGTTTCAGTGAAGATTTGAGTCACTCTCACTCCAAAGTCTCGTCCTCTTTTGATCTCATAACTTTGGGACAAAAGAGAGCTGGGCTTAGGCACAGGAAGAGGTCACACTGGGGTGGGACAACCAGTCATGCTTTCTGCTTGGTTCCCAGGGGTCTACAGGACTTGTGTACTCAGGGCCAGAACCTAGGAGGCCAGGAGGCTGCAGGGGCCAAGGGGCCGAAGGACTTCCTCGCCAGAACACCAAGCAGCAGCAGGACATGGACCATAGCAAGGAGGCTGCTGGAGCCCCAGTGGGCACTGCGGCGCCCCAGGAGCTGCTGGAAGAAATGGTTTGGTTTTTCCGTGTTGAAGATGGTATGTAGCAGGGGATGGGTTTGGGGATCAGGTTGGGGTTCTCCTCAGCACAGAACAGAATCTGACTGAAATCCCTGAAGCCTGCCTCCTCCTCCAGGCGGGCGGCACATCTCCAAGTCTGAAAAGTCTCACTGCCCAAGGGATCTGGCCCTCTCTTGTCTTCGGGAGTGGCCACCCACCGGCGGTGTGATTTACTCAGACACTCTATCATCACAACCGTTTACCAAGTTCCCCCTGTGCACCAGGCCCTGTCCACACCCCGTGACAAGAGCGACAACACAACCCTGTCCTCGTGCAGCGCGTCCTGGTGGAGGAGAGGAGGCAAACAGGACGAGCGACTAGAGCGCGTGGTGTACTGGGGAGACTAAGGGCGGAGAACGGGACAGGCAGGGTGCAGCGAGGGGAGGTGACCCGGTGGAGGAAGGCCTCCCTGAGAAGGTGATGTTCGAAGGCAGGGTGGTGACTTGCAGAAGTGAAGGAGTTGGCCATGCAGATTCTGTGGCGGGGGCCATTCCTGGAGGAGGGAACAGGCAGTATGCAAGCCCAGGGGCTGGATCTGGCCTCAGTTCCATGCAGTGTGGACATCCTGAGTATCCACATTCACATGAGCTGCTTTATGTGTGAGCTGTGGGCAGTGTTAAGTCCAGCCTCGCGGCCAGTCCTTCCTCCCCACGCCCTCCTTCCTTCTTTCCTTTGTAGTCCCTGGCAAATTAGAAGACTGAGAAGGTATCTTGGTCCCCCTCTCCTCATGCTCCCCACTCATCCAGTGGCAGCGCTGTCTCCCCAGTACTGGGCTTCTCCAGGACAGAGATGGTGTCTCTCCTAGACCTGTTAGACTGGAGATCCCCCAGGGCAAGGGGCTCAGCTCTGCCTTCATTAAAGTCTCCACAGTAGGGACCTCTGATGCTGTGAGCCGGACTATTAGCGGGGCTGTAGGGTGTCGGCCTCGCCTCAAGGCCATGTCCCGTGTGTTCCTCCCAGCATCTCCCTGGAATTACTCCATCCTGGCCCTGGCGGCTGTCGTGTTCGTGATAAGTGTCGTCCTCCTGGGAAGGGACATCCAGACAAACAGGTGAGGAGCTGGTCTGGGTGGTCCCTGGTTACAGGCCCTGCCTTCCCAGAGGGAAGCCAATGGAGGGGTCAGTTAGGGACCTTGGAGGACAACAAAATGCAGCCTTTGGGGTCATTGGAGAACCCAAAGCTGTTAAAAAACCAGCACCTGTCTCTGTTTATCACCCCCCTGGCCCTGGCCAGCAAGCAGGCATGGCCACCGTAAGTGTAATCATTAAAAAGGCGGCCTTGGGGCCAGCAGGTGCCGTAGTGGTTACGTCGCTGGACTACCACATGGCCGACCACAGTTCAAGTCCCGGACCCTGTGGCTTCAAACACACGCCGGGGGCATGTGTGTGCGTTCCCAAGATCCCGAGAGGAGAATGGAGAAGGGACTACAGTGTGGCTGTCCCCCGGGGGGTGATTTTTCCCTTTCTCCTTCTCTCTGGTGAGCGTGTGCACCCTATAGCAAAGATCTCTCTCATAAAAAAAGAAAAGGTGGGATCAGCAGTTAGTGTAATGGCTATGTCTCTGGACTCCCACGTGGTCGACCGCGGTTCACGTCCCGGACCCAGTGGCTTAAATTCACGCTGGGTGCGTGTGCATGTGTGCCCAAGATCCCGAGAGGAGAATGGAGGAGAAGGGAGCGGCATGACCATCCCCCTTGGGGGTGATTTCTCGCTTTCTGTCTCTCTGTCTCTCTCGTCTGGCGAGCACACGCGCCCTATAGCAAAAACCTCTCCAAAAAAAGAAAAAAGAAAAAAAAAAAAAAAACGAAAGAAAGAAAAGGTGACCTTGGACCAGCTCCATGGCTTGGTGGTTGAGGCATCTGGGTCCCACATGGGTGACAGCTGAGTACCAGATCCGGCAGCTGAGAACCACGCCAGCTGTGTGTGCGAGCAGGCCTGAAACCCTGAGGGGAGGGAGACATGAAGAACGGGCTGTGGTGTGACCGTGCCTCATAGGAAGTGCTTTCTCCTCTCCCCACCCCTCTCTCTGGTGCATGCACTTGTTTGCTGGCAAAAAACTAAAATGAAAACAAAAACACAAAACACAAAGTCCCGTCACCTCGTCACCCTGTCAGGAAGCATCCCCTTCAGCAAGAGCAACTCAGACACACGCCGGCTGTCCATGCAGCAGTGGACACTGACCTCCTAAGGCCCACGCAGATGCGCCGGGCAGTCAGCGCGTACCATGGCCAGGGCCCTCTGCAGTGGCCCGGAAGTATAGGGGCGCCCTGAGTCAAACCCTTCCAGAGAGGCCAGCTGTGCGGCAGTTACTGGAAGGAATGTCAGGGTAGTGCTGTGGGGAGTGGAGCAGGACCAGAACACAGCGGGGTTTTAGAAACACGACTGGTTTGGGGACCAGCAGTTGGCATAATAGCTATGTTGCTGGACTCCCATGTAGCCGACCGCGGTTTGAGTCCCAGACCTGGTGGTTTAAACTCACGCCGGGCGCATGTGCGTGTGTGCCCAAGATCCCAACAGGAGAATGGTGAAGGGATTGCGGCGTGGCCATCTCCCCGGGAGGTGATTTCTCGCTTTCTGTCTCTCTGTCTCTCTCTGTCTTTCTGGCGAGTGCACACGCCCTATAG